TTATATATACATATATATAAATATGTGTGTTTGTGTGTGTGCAAAAGTGTGGTAAGTTTGATTCTATGTCAGTGTGTGTGTGTCTTTCTGTGGATTCCTTAGACTAAAAGTGGAAGCACTTTTCAAATTTTGCGCGCCGCGTTTAGTACATGCGTAACGGGTATTTCCGTATGCCTATCTACCGAAAAACGAGGCGGGTTTCCTTTGTGGAGGCGGGGCGGGAGGTCTTTAAAAATAAAATCGAAACTTTCAGAGTTAATTTTTCGTACGCTTGGCAATTTAGTTCTGTTTAAAAAAAATTATATTGAAATTCAAGATAACTAAAATTTGTTCGTCTGTTTTGTGGCAATAGAATCATGGAAATGGCCTGGCCTGCTCTAATCAAATGTCAGGGCTCTCCTAAACCACCTCACAACCGACCCAGGGCAAGCAAAGATGATGATCATGAAAGTGTTTCCAAAGGGAAAATCGGAAAAAATATGAATATGAGAATAGGAAAATAATATAAACGAGGACAGTCGTGAATAGGACTTCGATACGAATCGAAGCCGGAGGAAACCCACTCAGGGACGCTGAATGTTTATAAAGCTCTCATCTAAACATGCAATACGCAGTCTATAAAGACATCGATCAAGGAGCTTAAGACGGTAGTGAAGAGAGATCTGAAAAAGATCGACAAAACTGGGGATCTTAGAGCGCGGATTGGGATTACTTTGAAACAAACCAAACAGATAGACAAAAGAAAACAAAATTTGTTGTTGTACAATAAAAATATGTATAGACTTAGAGATATCAAAGGATACGTACGTGTAGTGTTGCAAGGACCAAAAACTTGAATTCAGATTAGCTTTAGCATGAACCAAACATATAGACAAAGAATTTACTGAACGTTTAACAGAGATAAGGGAAACACAAAAAGAAAAAAAGTAACAGAAATATATATAAACAAAAGTAATTTTCAGCAACTTTTGCTTATAAAAAAATATGAAAATATTTAAGCCATATTTCAAATTAGCCTACTACACATATATATATATCCCTTCAAAATATAGTAGAAATATATATAGTATATAGTATGTTAAAAATACTATTGTAACAGCAATTACCATAAATAATTTGTTAGGAATTAAAAACTTAAAATAAATTTTAAATTTTATACACTTGATTATATAAGATTTCCAATTTAGGCAGTCTCTACTGTATTTGCGAATTACTGGCTATCAACATAGCGCATTACTTATACATAGCTTTAATTTCATTGATAAGACTTCTCAGCTTCATTTTTTTTTTACTAATCACGTTTATTTTTCTTCCTCTGTAGTTGTCGCATTTGTGTGTGTGTGTGTTTCATTTTGTTATTAAAACTAAATACATTGCAGTTGCATGATGAAACAGTAAGAGTTAAGGTCAAAATCAGTTCATTAACAATTTCCAATTGCATTTACGAAACAAAAAAAAAACAAAATCAACTTGTACGGGAGATCGATCTAAATTATATCAAATTTAAACATATTACATTGCTTTTCTTTTTCAACTGTCTTTTTGTTGTAGTTAAAGGGAGCACACTGAGATTGTTATTGTTTAGTTAAAAAAGAAAATGTTGTGTGTGTTACGTTTCGTTTTGGCATGAACAAAAATTGTCGCAATCGCTTACAACTCTCGAGTTATTACATAATTATATTATAATTATTATTTATATGTATATATGTACATATATATTTCTATATATATGTTCTTTATTTTCTGGTATTCTTGTTAATTTCGTTAAAAGTGATGTTTACTTTTATAGCATTTACAAGTATTTCTCTTTTTGTTTTTATTTTTGTATAAAATAATTTACATTAACTAAACTTAGGCTGCATAGTGTAAATGTGTGTGGGTGTGGGTGTGGGCGTGTGTGTACTTATGAAATGTATGCTTGATGTATGGATGTACGTTATGTTTTAGCTGCTTGTGTGTTCGCACGTCTTACAAACTAAAATTAAACTAAGAAAAAAACTCACAAAAAATCTTATTAAATCGATCTTGAATATATGTATATATGTAAATATGCGTGTGTCTGTGTGTTTTTTCTTTCGTTTCTTCGTTTTGGAAAAAATGAATACCCTAGAATCTAGCAATTAGGAGACTGACACAGAGACAGACAGACCTGACCTAACCGACCCTATTACATACATACATGCGCACATACATGACATGATGTAAGCTGATAATGTACCACTGTCGTACATGCATACATACATAACATGATTGCTGTATCATAATAATCGTTTTAGAAACGATTCATATTCCATATTCCATATTCATCCATACTAGTTACTCTAGTTCCCCCACAGACGCCGCAATCCTTAGACGAGAGATATGGTTACATTGATGCCCAGATTCCCATTGTCGGCAAACAGTTGCGCAATCGATGTATCAAACACCAGACAGTCCGAATTGTGTATAGCAGAGGCAACACCTTCGTGTATGGAACGCGGCATTGCCTCCCAGGTGAGGCGGCGTCGATTGCCATTTAATTCCAGTCGATAGACAAAGTTCTCGGCCTCCTTGCGCGACCCAATTAATTGGACAATGGCAAAGAACTGTTGATGTCCATCATATTTCTCTTGCTTCTCCAGCACGAGCATGAAATGATGGCCGAAGCAGGACTGCATCATCACCCAGTCGACGGCACCGGGCAGATTGATATCGGTGGCCAGAAAGACAATATCTTCGCCCTGCAGCGTGGTAATGCTCTTGTGTGACATCATCAGATGCTGCATGACTAGATCGAGCGGTCCCTGCCATTTGCATGAGGCGCCCGGACAGGGGCATAGGTATGGCCGGCATTCGCAGGTCTCCTCGTGCTCGGTCTTCTCTGTGTAAACGAGTGAGGCAGTGCAGCCGTAGCCCGAATGCTTGCACGGAAATTTCACATTGGTGGCGACCTTCTCCATGGCCAGATTGCGTATGTTGGCCAACGGGCCGCGGCATGTGGGGCAGCATGTGAGCTTTGATCGGCAAGATACGCAGACCAAATGCCCGCTCGAGCATTGCAATATCGGTGGCAGCACATAGTCAAAGCAAACGGGACACTCGAATAGCGATGTCAGATCGGCAGACATGCCCGCATCACCGCCACCGGCGGACGACAGTGAAGAGCTGGATGAGGACGATGTGTTCGCTGATGATGTATTCCCAGCACTGGAGCCGGTCGAGCTGCTCGTATTGGTGGCCACCACTGCCGTGGCTGCTGCTACTGCTGCTGCTGCTGTCGGTTCACGGCGTTTTGGATTGATTTTATTTGACATTGGACTTGCTTGCTTGCCACTAACTACCAGATGGGTCTGCCTCCACTTCAGGTGCCAGTGCAAAAGCAACTGCAGCAATTGCGACGACCCGACGAATCCAGGCAATCGAACTCTTCTAACGTCACCTGCCTCTTGGTCACTGCAACGAGAAACGTAATAACAAATGTGTCATATTAATTACAGTGAATACTTCAGTTTATATATACATTTATAGTATACATATTGATAATATTTCTTTTAGTCATGCAATATCCAGCTAGCAAGCTATTATTAAATGGATTGTCTAATGAAGGGTAACTGCATATGGGAGCTACAGCGAATGAATGGATTTTTTTTCCTGCCATGTGCCAAAACAGAAAAAATGGAAAATAAGAAACTCTGCAAAACGGGTTTTGAAATTAGAATTCTGTAAAAAATAGATAGAGCGGAAAACATGTTTTACACACATTGTAAAAGGCAACCCCCTGATTGATGAAATCAGGAGTAAATTTTGGCAACCAATCAGCGCTCAACTTGTTTGTAAAGCTCTAAAGCAATAGCAATGCCTGAAGCTACAACTTAAATAGTAAAAAAGGACGAAGAACTTAACTATTATTAATAATATTGAGCCAAATGCTTTTTGATTTCATAATAAAAGTTCCATCATTTTTTAAACAAAAGAAAAGCTCATAGAAATGAATGCTAACCTTGGCCAACGGCCCTTCCTCAATAAATCCTAGCCGACCTCTAACTGTACAAATTCTCTTGACAATGCTCAGCTATCATTAACCAAATTGTCGAAATATTCGTCGCGATTAACAATTAGATTTGGTGTTTTTTTTTCTTTGTTGTTGCTCATGTTATGTTTATTTTTGGTTCAAACTGTTTAAGAGTTGATATTGTATTTCTCGGCCGGCTTAGGCGCGTGTAGAAAAACGAGCAAATACACGAAAAAAAAAAGCATGTCTTATCAGAGCCGATGACAAATGCAGTTCATTAATGCTGACGGTGTGTCCAAGACATACGCAGGAGCAAATGCTTGCACAGTGGTACAAGATTCAAAGTTGGTAATATGAAAAAAAAAAAAAAAAAATGTTTAGAAATGTTTACATATCTTCTATGTGTATTGAAAAACGTTCACTGATAAATTCATTGGGGAGAATTGTTGAGATCCCAATGTACATGGGAAATTTTACTTAGCCCCGCAAAAGCTCTTTTGAGAGAATACCGGTTTCTCTATGACATTTCGTATCATTATGAAATATATGATGATCTTGAATGGAGCAGAGCCTTCGTTAGATTTTATAGTACCTAACAAACACATATAAATCGATATATAGCTTTATGAAATAGAAATCCACTATGCAGTACTCCAAAATTTGTGGCTGAATATGTGATTGTTTGAATGTGTGTATGTCCATGTAAGAGTGTGTGGAGCATAAACAAATATGAAGTGACGCGAGCTGCGTCAATAATATGGGCTTCACTTCTTTATTATTATTATTTTTTTTTTTTGTGGCAGCAATGAGCAGTGAGTAGGTGTAGAAGTAGAAGGAGGAGCAGAAGACAAAGAGAGAGAGAGAGAGAGAGAGCGAGAGAGAGAGGAGAGTTAGAGAGGGAGAAGTGAGGGGCCTAGTTGGTAGCGGCACATAATTAACATTTGCCTCTGTTGGCTGCGTACCGTAAGAAATTTCCATGTGGCGGGGGCAATTACTACGACTGCTGTTGCCACTGCTGCTGCTGCTACGCTATTGCTATTGCAGCCGTGAATGTAATTAAGTTTTAATTTTTTTTTTTCAATGAGTTTGCAAAATCAAATAGAAAACGGAAAGCAGAGCAGATATGTTAACAGCAACAACTAAAACGGAACAACAACAACGAAAATTGTATGTAAAAATAAACAGCTAAAAAATAATCATAAACGTAAACTTACAAAGCTCTGTGCACGAGGCGTCACTGTATGCGTGTGTGTTTGGATTTGTGTATGTGGGTATGAGGCTTTTATCAGTCAGTCAGCCAGCATGTGTGTGTGTGTATTTATATACCACTGTATATATAAATATATATGTATATCCTCGACGATATATGTGTGCGTAAATCAATGCATTTACAATTACAATCGCAGGTGGCCGCACTTTCAGGTTCGCACACGCACAACAACAACAACAACAAACGCACAACAAAGAGAGAGAGAGAGAAAATTAAAAATTGTTTTCGTCTTTAGCCACCAGCATTATTTTTTATTTATATATTATTTTTTATATACATCCACAGTTCGGTTCGGTTTGGTTCGGTTCACCTTGTGCCAAACTCGAAATTCAGGCGTGAGCTAATTTCATTTTATTTTTTATCTAATTTTTCATTTATACACTCGCGCACACACACACTCATTGAATAATATGGCTATATGAACATGTTTGCTGCTGCTGCTGCTACTGCGGCGGCTGATTTTGCTGCGTTTTGTAGTTGTTGTTTTTTGTTTTTTTTTTCTCAGCATGAATATCATCTGTTTAGGTCGCCTTCGTCGTCCATCGGGTTACAATTTACATACGGGAGACGCAACGCTAAAGGCAGACACACGACGACGACAACGACAACGGCAACGGGGGCGGGGGCAGTGGTTTGTGCTGTAGCCAGTAGCCGTAGCCGTAGCTTGAAAATTTGTTTCTACTCTGTATATGTGTGTGTGTTTTGCACTTTGCAAACGCAGCTCGTATATTATAATCTTTCTTTTTGCACCAAACACTTGCTTAAAATATTGTCTATTTGGGCTATTACGATCGCAAGCGCAACTATTTAACTATTAGCACGTCACACGCGTATTTCTGGCTATTTAATTTTATCTTTAATTTGCCTAGTGCTGGGCAAGCATAACAGTGCTGACTAACGTTGATGTCGGTATTTTTGGTATTTTAGCAGCACAGTGGCAGCTCTGCTAGAAACAATTTCAGTACGTAAATTTTTGAAATATGTCAATTGCTTACAAAATTCAACTGTTCCATTTAAAAATACAAATTTACCCAAAAAGAGGATAACTATAAATATTTATCATAGTATTAACTACTAAAGTAACTTTATATAAACTCTGTATTGAAAGCTTATCAAGCTTACTTAATGAACAGCGTACTCTGCTCTTCTTCCCGGTATCATAATAATGCAGTTTTATACTCCGCGGCAACCCTGTCGGGTGTAGCGTAATAATTTGTCGAATCACAAAAATAATTAAAAGGAATTTTTTTAACGATAATAGTAAAATAAATTTAATTGGAATACCATGTGCATTGCCAGCATGGCCTAAACTTTTGAATATATGTATAATATATATTCCAACAAAAATCAATAAGCTCATCTGTCATTCTTCGTATCTGGAGCACGGACCATCCCCCAAAAAGCACGCAGACCAGCACAAAAAAAAAAAAAACGGAAAAAAGAAAAACTTATGAAAAAAGAAGGATACATTGTATAAATTGTGTGATAAAACACTCGTCATGTTGGGGCAAATTCGAAAATTCAATGTGCTAATATTTTGCACATTGATTGCCATCTGTGTGGCTGTCATGAATGATCCGTATAAGGAACTCGGTGTCAGCTCCACAGCATCCGCACAGGAAATTCGACGAGCGTATAAGCAGTTGGCCAAGGAGTGGCATCCGGATAAGAGTAATCATCCGGATGCGGAGCGTAAGTTTGTACAGATCAAAAAGGCCTACGAGCTGTTGAGCGACACCGATCGACGACGTATTTACGATAAACACGGCATTACTAGCGAGGATTCGCATTTCTTAAAACAAAAACATGATTACAGCAACTACAATCGATTTGGGTTCGATCCAGTGGAAGAATTCTTTGGTAAGCAATTCGGGTTCGACCAGGATATCAGCTTGTATCATAAACTCTCTGTCACTTCCAATTACTTTGAGCATACCATCATACCGAAGAGCAAGACCAAGTTGCATATTATAATGTTCTACAACGATTGGTGTTTCGGTTGTATTCGAATTGTGGGAGCGTTCAAGAAGCTGATCGACACCTTCGAGCCACTGGGAATATCCTTTGTCACCATAAATGCCGCCCACGAGCCAACCATATTGCGCAAAACTGGAGCAGATGATATACCAAGAATGGTGCTGGTGCTCGGCGGGCATAGCTATGTCTATCGCGAGAATATCTATACACAGCAGAAGTTGGCCGAATTTATACGCAAGAAGATGCCCTTTAAGATCGGTCAGCGCGTAAATGATGAAAATGTCGACGAGTTTCTGAGTGGTTGGACAGATAATCGGGTGCGTGCTCTGGTCTTGGAGCCGCGAAGCGTAACCAGGCTGAGATATCTGATAAGCGCCTTTGCCTTCCATGATCGTGTGGCTTTTGGCTTTGTGGATCTAACTAGCAAGGCTTGTAGTCTCATGGCTGATCGTTTTAAAGTCAATCCCAAGTTAGATACACTCTTCCTGTTCAATGAGGACTCTGTGCGAGCTGTTGCTAGCATTTCTATGGCTGATATACCCACACAAACACTGGACAACATCATCTCCACAAATCAATTCCTTTCGCTACCCAGACTTTCCTCGCAGGATGTGCTCGAAGGGGTTTGCCCAGCCGAATGGAATAGACCAAGGAAGCGTTTGTGTGTAATACTTATTACAGAAAACTCGCCCGAATATGATATAGCACGAGGTGCCTTGCGGCATATTGCTCTAGAGTCTGGCTATAGCTTGGAGAGAGTTCGCTTTGCGTATATGTACAAGGAGAAGCAGGCAGATTTCCTTAATGCCATTTCGAAGGGCTCCTTCGAGGACAATCTATTGAGGCTCGTCGTCATCTGGCGGCGTGATAGCACCCAAATCAAATACGAGTGGGTGGACGGTGCCAAGTTGGATATTAAGACGGACGACTATCTGAACAATAGCGCCATCAATGCCACGAAACATGAGATAAATCTAACCATACAACGACTGTTGAAGACGTCGGAGGCATTAACCTACGAGGCATTCGTCCAGAATTTATTGGATGAGCATGCTCAAGGCATGTTGAGCAAATGGATCACTAGGCTACTCTACCTAGTAGATTATCTATCCGATAATATCGAAGACGAACATCTCTTTGCTGCCCTATCGCTGTTGGGCACCATCGCATTTATGTTTGGCATTGGCTACGTCATGATGTACTTTGTGCGCGCCGAGGAGGAGACTCTAAAGGCGCAAGGACAGCTCAACAACGCCGGACAATGCAACAAGCAGAGCAAACATGTGCCGGAGTTGAAGCTTTACGAGCTAAGGGCAGAGAAATATAATGGTCTAGTGCGCCTGCTGAAGCCCGGCTGTCGTACAATCCTATTAATAACCGATCTGCAGAGTCGGGCCAAGCTGATTCCTCCTTATCATCGCGCTGTTTGGCCTTATAGACGTACCAAAACCCTTATCTTTGGCCATATGCTCATTGAGAAGGGCTTGTCCTGGTACTCTGAACTGCTACGCTTGTCGCTATGCACAAATCAGAAGCTACAAATCAATCCCAGAAATTGTGTTGGCACTGTAATAGCCTTAAATGGACACCGCAAGTATTTCTGCGTATATCATGCCAAGCATCCAGAATGCGCACGCGGTACCAAGCGAATGATCAAGATGACCAAACAATTGCTGGATCGCAACGATGATCCAGAGATTGGTAACTTCCTGGGGGTTAACTACTCCGAAGAATCAGATGTCGAATCGAATGTGCTATTCGAGGACAATTTGCTAGATGGTCTCAGCAATTGGCTAGATCGTTTATTCGAGGGAACAACACACAGATATTACATCAACTATTGGCCCGATTTTCCCACAAAGTAAACTTCATAAAGTGTTTAAGTATGTGTAAATTACTTTGTCAGCCCGCAATTTCTTGTAAATCCTTTCTAGTCAATAATAAAAAGAAAACGAACAATCTACGACATATTATCAACTCTCTACTTGAAAGCTAATTCTGCAGCGCTGCAACAGATTTGCATTAGAGCAAGAAATCAGCCACATGATGGTGTATTAACTATTTGTATTATCAATCTAAGCATAATCTATGTTTCACAACCAAAGAATAAATAAACGTTAAGTGCATTATAACATTAGTCAAACTCAAGTAAAGATTTCATTTATTGGGTGCTGGGTATTATCTCTGATATATACCCATAATTATGATTCCATTTTTTATGTTCTCTTAAGCTAAGTCCCCCGTTGATAAGATGATACCCCGCTCAATGGGGCTCCATTAGCGAGTGCAGCCGTATCACGGCACGATAATCGTTGTGCGACAGCTCTCCTCGACGCGAACGATCCAGCACGCGTTGCAGGCGCTCCAAGGTCTCCGAATTTGACGTCAGCTTGAACAGATCGTCAAGGTATTTCAGCGATTCGCGGGACCAGAACATGGAGGGTTTCGATGCATCCGTGTTGATGCGGGAGTCACCACGTTCCATGCCAACCAGCAGGCGAACGCATTCGGATTGCAGCGGACGATTCTGTTGCAAGTGCAGTTTGCCCACTGGCGTACGTTGCTGCATATTGTTAAAGGTTAATAAATGCTTTTGCTGTTGTTGCTGCTGCTGCTGTTGTTGGACGGGGCGAGGCTTGTCGCGCTGCTGCTTTGGTATGCGTTGTTTGTTGTTGTTGCTATTGTGCTGCTGCTGGTGTTGCTGCTGGTGTTGTTGCTGGTGCTGCTGCTGCTGCTGTTGCTGTTGCTGTTGCTGCACCTCGTGCTGCCAAATAGGCGGCGGGGGAGGCAACTGCTTCTTCTGTTGCCCCACCGACTTGGCATGTGGCTGTGTGCGTGGCTTGGCATTACGTGAATTACCATTCGGCTGCGCGACAGGTGAGGACTGTGCGCGCTCATCATGTTTCCATAAAGGGGGTGGCGGTGGTCGTCTCTGCTGCTGATCAGCCCATTTGGCATTAAGCAGGACACGTTTGTTGGGCGAAGAAGTCTTGTTGCTGGAATCAGGTACTCCAGCGGGTGGTGGCGAGGCAATGCGTTCTCGCTTCTTGTTAACAATCTGCTGGCCAAGCAAAGCTGGCTCAATGTTCAGCGAACTTATGCGATTCTTCACATCCAACTTGAAGTAGGCCTGCAGCAGCGATTCATAATTGGGATGTGGATAAGCACTGAATATGATGCGCCAATGCTCTTCGATTTCATTTCGCATTGCAGTTGTGGCGTTCTCATCGCCAGCATGCTCATTCAACAGACGCTTCAGTATGATCAGCAGCTGATCCAAGTGCATGTTGCCATTGCTCAGGCCCGCCTGGCCAAATAATATCATATTGAGCAGACGACGCTTGCGTTCGGCCAGCTTGTAGCCACTTTTGGTATTCATTTGCTCCAGCTCCTTGATGCGGAAATAATGCGCCTTGGCGTTGCCCAGATCTCCAGCCAAACTGCTGATGCCGTCGCGCATAAAGCGTATGAGCACATCGATGCGTTTTGGCGGTTTTTGGCTTTGGAATTCGGTGGTCTTGCGCTTCACATCCTGATTGCGACGCAATAGCCTGAGCTGTAGATCCTCCTGGTTCTTCTTCAATCCATAGATAACCAGCACATAGCCGTATTCCTTGAAGTCCATGCGCACACTGACATTGCAAAGCTTAGCTGAAGCAGTTAAGAACTCGCGACCCTCTGGACTGAATAGATATTCGATTTGATCACGTGCCATGAGGATCTTCGCCTCTGATGGAACATCTGGCAAGCTTTCTGGCTGCGCTGCTGATGTTGCTGGAGCTGCTTTGTTGTTCACACACATGGAAATACCCTGACTGTTCGTGCTGATGGTCTCATCATTGGCTTCATCTTCTTCAGTATTTGTGCTAAGTGGTATTATATCGGGCAGATTTTCCATGGGTCCAGTTTTCGCCGGTGGTGCTTCAGTATCCTGCTCATTAGTTCTAGTCGTGGAGCTGGGCACCTCAAAGTGCTCGGAGAAGCTGTAGTTCGAGTCCGAGTCCAAATCATGTGGCGTGACAGTGGATTTAGAAGCTGTCAAACTACCGTTGCTGCTGGATTTTTTGGATGCTGCAGACTTGCTCTCAAAATTGCTGCTAATCTCCTCCTGCTGTATTTGTTCGGAAGCAGGCTTTGTTGCAGCAACTTTAGAATCTTTTGCCGCTACCAAAGCAGTATCAGGTCCTGCTGGCAGCTGCTCAGCCACCGCCGAAGAAGTTGTAGCTGATGAATTACGACGTAATGCTCTGGCGTGTGGATTGGGCACATAATCATTTGTATAGAGCTTCAGCTGCTGCTGCTGCACTGGAGCATTYTTCTTGCGCTTCTCCGCCGGCTTAGCCAAGCCAACTGCCTTGAGAAAGCGTGCATAGCAGCTGTTCTTCGAGAACGCCGAGCTCCAGTTAAAGTGAAAATGCAAATCCATGGAAAATGAAGAGCGCAAGTCAGTCAAATAGCTAATGGGTTCACTGCGATCCTGGTAGACCTTCTGATGTGATATAATACGAATGGTGTGGTTTACATTGCGAAACTCGCCCATGCGCTGGCGACACTCCTCAAAGAGATGACCACGTTGAGCGCAATAGCTGCAGTGCTTTGTGCGATATTGCACGTTGCTGTTTAGCACTGCATTTGTGCGGGTCTAAGGAAAGAAAGTAAGAATTAATGTTGTATTTCGATTAAATCAATTTAGCTTACTGTGGAGTGATAACGACGCCACAAGTCGGGGCACTTGTCGCTGCTGTGGCCACGCATCTTGCACAGCTGGCAGATCATCCGGGTATGAAACGAACACTTGTTGCAAGTCTGCACATAGATAGACTGCTTGGAGCCACACTGTAAGAGTTAGAGAAAAGAGATATAAGTAAGAGATATATGAGGAATATATGTCAAATCAACTTTTCCAACTATCTAAGCTTCTATTACCATTAGCTATATTCTACTGATACCCTACATAACAACACAGCATATATCAAATATGCGACTTACACCCAGGCACATGGCATTGGGGCAGCGTGGCTCGGCATGCCCTGTCATGCCGCACATGTAGCAAATGATGGGCTTGCGTGGGCGCGGACATTTGGAGCGCATATGTCCCATTTCATAGCAATTACTGCACTTCAGATTCGAACGTTTGCGCGCAGGTGGAAAGCGATCGGCATGGTTAATGCGCCACTCGCTGCGTTGACCTACAAATTGAACAATTAATATCATATAAACAAATATTTTTATTGAATTAATAAAGTAAAAGACTTACCTGACATGCCCTTCAGTATCTTTTGCAGATTGAAATTCTCGCCATGCCAGCTGTCATTGTAGAAGCGACACATCTCATCATTCCACCCAATCAAATCCTTGACATTCACTTGCTCCTCCAACGCCGGCAAATTGTGCACCACTTGCACCTCAGCCACCTCTGCTTCCAGCTGTGGCTCGGACTGAATTTCAATATTATTTATTTCAGCTTCACTCGCTTCAATATTCTCTGCCTCTGCATCCGCCTCTGGATTCGGTTCCAGTTCCTGGTCCGACTTTGTGGTGCTCACTTCCTGCTTCTGCTTATCAAATTCCATACAGACTGCTACAATCGCATCATTCATCTCTGCCTCATCCTCAGTATTCGCATCGGAGCCAATGCTGTCCATAGTATCATCATTTCGTTGCTCTGGCGTAGCCCGTTCCCGGTCCTTCTTCTGTTTGAGCAATCGTTCAGCGATTTGACGTGCTGTGGGCAGCGACTCCTCTGCCGCTGACTCTGAACTGGGGTCATCAATGGGTGTCTTCTTCTTATGCTGCTCAGATGGAATCACACTCTCCGAGTTGCGTCTTTGACTAATGCGTCGTATTTTACGCTTACAACGCTCCACAGCCATACCGCGTGCGATGCCCGGCACACCTGTTGATTGCACACCTGCATCATCATCGCTCTCTGTGTCATTCTGATCGCACTCATTGTTGGGATCCGATTGGCTTTGGTTAGTGCTCGAAGCGCGTCGCTTGCGCAAACGCTTTGTTTTGTTCACAGTGGGCTCTATGACCTGTTCTATGTCCGTCGAATCCGAGTCGGAGTCCACGTTGCGTATAATTGTTGGCACAGGCTTTTGTTTGGCCTTGCAGTAGACACCGCTCTCTGTGAGATCTGATTCGCTTTCATAGACATCCAGAGCACGAAATTGTTGCTCATCTACACGATAGTTCTGTTTGATTTCTTCCAGCCTGGAGGGCGGCACAAACTCATATTCCGAGGAGGTGTCCGCCGCCTGTTCCTTCTCTTCGCTGGCTGGGTCCGCTGCTTCTCGCATGGCATTCTCTGTAAGCACGAGCAGATCTTCGTCCGTAGCGCGAGCACGTTCGGCCAGCAGGCGACTCGTATCCTTTTGTACAATGAAATCATCGCTCGATAACACGGAGCTCGAAGGTGAATTCAGCTGCGAAGCCATAGTGACTTGCTCTGTGGATTGCCGATCGCCGGTCAAACTAACATCGGCTGCATCCATGGCGTTCTCTTCCAGGTAAGACAGTTCTGGCTGCTGCTGGTCCTGCTCCTCATCGCTGGCATCGACATTTATAATGGGTACCGGTGGCAACGGCACAATCACTACATCGTCCGCATCTGAGGATTTCTCACTATCCACGAGACTGATTAGCTCGATGGACTTCCCCTTGTTCTGTCTTAGCTTCTTGTTGGCCTGCACACGCTTCGATTTTTGACGCTTCTCTGCAAGACGCTGATGCTGCTCCAGCTTACGATTGGCCTTTCCAAATGGCCCTTTCTGCACACGTTTGGCGATTGGCCAATTGGATGGAATGGCTACCAAAAGTCGTTGATCAAAACGTTCCGGTTCATCGTCTTCAGTTTTTGGGTTCGTGTTCTGTTGTGGTTTCGGTGGTTTTTGTATTTGTGGCTGTTTTTTAGGCTGCATCTTTGGTGGTTGACGCATTTGTTGTTGCTGCAGCAGTTTTTGAACAGGAGTGAGAGCTTTTGGCTGTTTGGTCGAAGAAGCAGACTTCTTGGCAGTGCTGAACTTCTGTGTTGAGTCTTTATCTCGCTTATCCTGCTCTGTAGTTCCCGGCTCGTCGGCTGTGGTAGGAGCTGTGGCAATGAGAAGAATGTAAGATATATACTTTATTTTTGCTTGTATGAAAGACACATATATATTTTATTGCAAGCTATTAGAGCCAAAATCATTGATATACAAATATAGTTTTGCTATTGTTTAATATCCTGGTGGATTTAGCAAGCTCCTCAGATTCTCAGTCCGAATATCTTTCATTTCGGGACGCCTTAGGCTGTAGCCGTGACGCTTAAGATCACTCAACTGACCCTCATCGATGTGATAGAGTATAAATGGATCCATTTGTAGATCAGCACGATTGGGCCACAATAATATAGCCACAGAGGTGCGAAAATCGTTAACAGCTTGATGAATTTGCTGATGGGATAAATGCAAATTCTCAAGTATAGCCATGTCATGCGGTTGATTCGATTGCTCTGAAAAACGTTTCTGCATTTGCAATGCTTTCTCCAGCTGGTGCACCAGACGCATCAGTACAAATCGCCTATATCGCTCCTCAAAATATTGACGCGGCTTATTATAGCGGCTCCTGTTGCGTCTGATCAATCTGGAGAGTATGGTGACCTCCACGCATGACATCACAACATGAACGCCCACAGTGAGGACAATGTATGAAAATATATACGCTATAGGATTTTGGCTCATCCCATCCAGCCAATAAAGCAGATCGTATCCATAGTAAACATAACAATAGTCCATATAAATAATTGTGCACAACAACTTCAGCAAAAATAGAACAAGAATATAGTAATTAATATCGCTTATGCGATTAAGTAGGACACGCGATGCGGCCATTATCTGACGGAGCATGGTGCTAGCCAGAGAATTCAATACGTAATTTTGAATGTAAATGCTTGTGCGACAAAAATTAATTTCAAATTGCTAAGCAGCGTCGATACAAAATTTGGTATCTCCAAAAAAGTATATACAATACTTTAAAAAAAAACCGTACAAATTCCTGGATTTGGATTCAAACGCGCATACATAAAAATAACTAATTTTAAATAAATAACACGAATTAACTAGTATACAAAAATACATAAAATATATCGATATACATATGAACATACATACATACATATGTAAAGCACTTTTGTCAGCGCAGTCGCTCACGTTTATATCACAGTGTAAGCATATGTATGAGTATAGGCAGGTAGGAATATGAAACCCAAAATTAAACTTACTTTCAGCTGTGCCTTTTGATTTTGATGTCCAATTATCATTTATTGCTGCAGTTTCGCTATTGTTATCAGCCCAGTAGCGAGCCTTTGCAGTCGCATTGTTGATGATTCGTTTGTTACTCACAAATCGGTGTTGCTGCTTTTGCTGCTGATTCTGTTGCTGTTGTTGTTGTTCTATTTGCTGTTGCGGCGGTGGCATATTCTGTGCATCCACATCCACATCTGCAGCTAGTGTGTGCTGTTGCTGTCCACTAGTTGCATCATTGTAGTGTATGGAGGCATAAAGAATTGATTCCAGCTCATTCAATTGCTCAATGTCCATTTCTTCAAGCTGCAAATAAAAAGAGATAAAGTGAAAAGTCACTTAGCTACGCAGTTATGATTTTTGCTCTTGATTTACTTACATCGCTCATCGTGCCAATGCTTGTAGTAGTTGCCTGCCACTATGTTTATTTTTAGCATTAAAAATCAAATCTTGTTACTTTAATTTCTTTATTATAATTTCACACAAAACCACGTTTTGACTAGAGACGAATGAGTTGTTGTTCTAGCAGCGATATATCGACAGTATTTTCAAATAAATCGATATGCATGAGTGTTGGGAAACGCAATAAGTCGATAAGTAATAAAGCAACCGTAACTGTTTGCAAGCCGGGCCACGTACAAGTGCAGGAAATTAACAAAAACTCGAAGTACCAATTAAATGTAAATAAAACAAATAAATTGTGGCATTATTATGCATTAAATAACGTTTTCATTTGATTTTACAGCATGGAGAGCATGCATCGCTACGTTTCACCGGTGAATCCAGCGGTCTTTCCACACCTAGCCACAGTTTTACTCATAATTGGAACATTCTTTACTGCTTGGTTCTTCGTATTTGTTGTCTCGCGGAAGAGCTCGAAGGAAAGCACGTTGATTAAGGAGCTGCTGATTAGTCTCTGCGCGTCAATATTCCTTGGATTTGGAATTTTGTTTCTTTTACTAACCGTTGGTATTTACGTATGAGAGGCAAGACAAATGCAAGCATTCCCTTTATAAGATATATATTTATATATAAACCGAACATGATTGAATAAAATTAAATGTAGGCATGTGAACGTACGTTGGGTTTTATTCATATACATATTTAATTTCAAAGATTCAATTTTTACTTAAAGCAATACCGAATATATTATAATAACATATTAAATTGTGTGCGGCTTGAATAATTAGTTGCACTTGAAAGACTGCAAACGAAAACATAACTGCAACCGACTGGCCCACGCATTCCACACATTACCGATTAGCCAGCCAATCCAGCTTTTTGTCTACACTTTTGCATTGTGGCACGCAATATGAATTGCTTGCGAGAAAGTTGACGCACATGCTTCAAGAACGTCTCCAGATCGATGACACCTCCACGCAAACCCTCGCCCAAATAATAGATGGCATCCTCTGTGGCAGCTTCATCAGCGTAGGCATTAAGTAATCTATAAAATCAATCAAACGATTACCCAGTTACAATTACAGTTAAATATATAGTCAGATTACTAACTGTCTATATAAAGGCGCAGTTGTGGTTACTGCCTCATCAGGATCAATGGCCTCTGCATTCTCCAGGCTCTCCAGACTTTTCTTTAACTCTTCCTCCTTTTCTCGCAATACAGCTATGTTCTTCTGCAGTTCAATTTCCTCACGTTCCAGGCGAGCGACGATGGCATCTATCTTGGCACTGCCTTCTACTAGCTCTTGCTTGGTGCGATTCAATGTTTCGATTTCAGCTTGATACTGATTAACCTTTTCCTGTATGCGACGTCTTAACTTGTCCTCAACGGCGCTAATAAGTGATGCTTTGATATGCTCTTCCGTTATGGTGCCTGTTGAGCTAGGAGTGCCTACTCCAGCTGGATTCTATAAGGATGAATGTATAACATTAACAAATTATTTCATATTTATTTTTGTATGTGAGAGCACTTACATATCCAATGCTACCTGGGTAGCCAGGCTGTGGATAGTTCATGTATGGCGGATAGCCACCAGAGCTACCAGGCTGTCCACCTGCTGGTGGGTAGGGCATAATGTTCGCACCACCAGTCGGATAAGGCGGAAAGTTGCCACCACTAGCGCCACTTGCGTTTGGATAAGGCAGAAACTGATTGGAGGCACCTGGCCCGCCTGGTTGAGGCATGAAAGCTGCTAGTTCGGTACACTTTTAGAAACTCGAAATCGTAAGTTGGATTCTATAACACTTACAATTCGCTGGGTATGGCACAGCGACTTGTTCCTTAGGCTTAGAGTAAACGGGCGGATGATCACCGAATGTCACAATCATAACTTGTATAAGTGATAGCAGATCCGAGCTATGCGGTTGCCAATCATGCAAATACGGCAAATACACCTTGCCATTGTGATCAACATACATGGACACCTTGATCTGCATCGTGGGTGTGGGCTTTACAAAGCACATTGGTGCATTTTGTGGATGAGTGTCCATCAGCCAGATACATATGGGAATGTAGTAGGTGTTGTCTGTGAAATACACATTTATCAATCACTCTAAAAGCTTGCCTTATATATGGATAATAATGAGCACTTACTTTTGTAGACCACCGGAATTGTGCCTTGCAACGCAAACAAATCTTTAACGCTGCCATCGTTAAAAACTGGGGGACAATAAAAAATTGTTCATTTGTTTGTATTTGTAAATCTTAGTCAGCAAATATGGTTTTATCTCACCAAATTTTTCTAAATTATACGTCAGGGAGCGGTACGCAGTAATGACATCCACAACATCTTTCCTAGTGGCCGCAACATTTTTATACTGTTAACGAGACTCAATTAATCAAATAACGATTTTAATATTGCGTGTTGGGCAGTAGAGGATGGATAAGGCACACACTCAAAAAACATGACTCATCGTACCTTGGATAGATATTTAGTTATTTGTGCCTCTTCTATTGCAGGCATTCTATTTCGTTGCTATTTAATTAAATTTAGAATCAGCACCTGCTACTTTAACAATGATTATAAAATAAATTTCTTTATAGTCGCTAAACGAAAACAAAGTCGTCAATTGAGTATTTCTAGAGCTATCATAGAATCGAGTACATCCCTGCTCTTATCGCACTCGATAACATTACAAGATATCGATAGTCATTGCGTTACGTGATGATAGTATGGAAAATTCGTTATATTTGAATACATTTAAAAAACATTTAAATATATAAAACATCATTTAAAAAATAATTATTTATTTTTGCTTCGCGCTTCTCTTCTTCTAATTAACTTGTACAAACGTGGGAAATGATATGTTCATCGTGCATTGCGTTGTGGATACCTCTCAACTGACAAATGGGTCGATTTTGCAGGCAGCTTACTTTGCTTTTGGCATATTGCGATGTTTCGGGCGTCTGTAATCAAATAAGAGCATTGAAATCGTAATTTTTTAATAAAATTCAAAAATAAAACGTCACCTCATTGGCTTGGCTTTGTATCTTAAATGTAACTTTATTTGAATACTTTCGTTTTTTGTCTCTTTACTCATTAGGCATATACATATAAATATATATATTT